TTTATTTTAATATTTTAAACGATTTTACAACAAAATATGATTAAAATATAACAAACGTAACACATGTCAGCACAAGGAGAGCCTAACATCCCATCCATTTCCATGTGTCGGCAAGGTAAGCCGCCACCTGGCATCCCATCCAATTAACTATTTCTTTTTACTTCAAAATTGATTTAAAAATCGTTTATAATTCAAAAAATTCCCAAAAAATAATGTCGGGATTGGTATGACATTTTCTTCGAGCATGTACGTCAAATTTCGCCAATGCATTCAAATTTTGATTCGATCCTTATGTGATCAAACAAACAATAGCTTAGGGTTTACAAAATGTAGTTATGTTTTTATTTGCATCATTCACATTTAGGGATGACCCCCAAATTTTAATTTTAAAACAATTGTAAACCACTTTTTGGACTTAGGATACAAGTATTGGTGCTGAGAAATATGTATGTATATTTTTTGTATTTTTTTTCATTTATTGTTATATTTTAAACAATTTTACAACAAAATATGATTAAAATATAACAAACGTAACACATGTCAGCACAAGGAGAGCCTAACATCCCATCCATTTCCATGTGTCGGCAAGGTAAGCCGCCACCTGGCATCCCATCCAATTAACTATTTCTTTTTACTTCAAAATTGATTTAAAAATCGTTTATAATTCAAAAAATTCCCAAAAAATAATGTCGGGATTGGTATGTACGTCAAATTTCGCCAGTGAATTCAAATTTTGATTCGATCCTTATGTGATCAAACAAACAATAGCTTAGGGTTTACAAAATATAGTTATGTTTTTATTTGCATCATTCACATTTAGGGATGACCCCCAAATTTTAATTTTAAAACAATTGTAAACCACTTTTTGGACTTGGGATACAAGTATTGGTGCTGAGAAATATGTATGTATATTTTTTGTATTTTTTTCATTTATTGTTATATTTTAAACAATTTTACAACAAAATATGATTAAATTATAACAAATATGACACGTGTCAGCAAGGGACGCCGCCACCTGGCATCTCATGCAATTAACTATTTCTTTTTACTTTAAAATTGATTTAAAATGGTAGAGTTTAGTGGTTAGGGGTTAGGGTTTGGGGTTTAGGGTTTTCATATGACAAACTTTTCATGCTATATATATGTGTGTGTTTTTATGCTATCAAAACATAATAACTTGGGATGGGTATTAAATAATATTCTGAATGTTTGTTGTAATTTTCTAATTTTTAATTTATTTATTGTGAATTTTAGAAGTTAAATCATAAAAAAAGAGTGTATGTGATAGAATGTTTTGATTTGTCTGTGAACAAAGTTGAGTTTTTATCATTGTGCTTGTATTTTTATAATTCAGAATTATAATTTTGGAGCTTTAAGGAGAAGAGAATATATGAATTTTCGGTGTATTTTTATGATTTTTAAATTTTTATTATGAATTTTAGAGCACCCTGTGAGTATTTCTCATGTGTGGCCTTATAAGATGATAACACGTGTCATGTTTTTGTAATTTATTGTGTTTTATCTTAAATAATTCTTAAAAAATTATATAAAAATCAGAAAAATATACTAAAAATTGCTACAAATTTCTTATGACACAACATTCGATTAAGGAGATCTAAAATTATGATTTCATATATTTAAATTAATGAGAATCATTTGATCAAAGAAACAAGAGTGTATGTGAAAGAATGTTTTGTTTTATATCTATGAACAAAGTTGAGTTGTTATTATTGATTTGTATTTTTATAATTTAGAATTAGCATTTTGGAGCTTTAAGGAGAAGAGAATATCACAAGATGTTCATAGGAATTTTCTGTGTTTTTAAAAAAAAATTATTTATTATGAATTTTAGAAATTAAATTGTAGAGAAATAATATGAAATATAATAGATTGACACGTGGCAGAGTCTTGGACATTGATTTCTCCTCCCTCTTTTTTCGCTGCCGCTCTTTTTTTTGGGCGAAATTCTATTTTCGCGCTACGCATCTTGTTCTCCTCATCCTAAAAAAATTGACGCTTCTTTTCTCTTTTCAGCCCCAAATTGAAACCACTTCCCTCCTCCTCTCTCCTTATATCTTTTCCAGACCCACTATATGCTCTCCCTCTCCCTCTCCTCATCTCTCTCTCTCTCTCTCTCTCTCTCTCTCTCTCTCTGGCTACATGCTCCAAGAAGAAGTATGATTGCTTTGTAAGTATCCATTTCAAGAATTCAATCTCTTATTACTTATTTGGGTTTCAAGTTTTATTTTTATTTTTGCAGAATCTAGGTTGGTTTGTCTACTTTCTCCCTCTTCGTTCCAGTAACCCTCTCACTCATGGTTTGTATCAATTCCTAAATGCCAATTTGTTTTTTCTTTAAATGTTTCTTGATTAATTTTTCTGTATTTGTTCTGAAAAAATGGGTATAATGTTGTTGGTTCATTGTATCTAGTTCACGATTTTGATAAATTTTCAACCATCTTAAGTAAGGTAATTGTACAGATTGATGGTAGAACAAGTAGCAGATCTTGATAGTCCTTGAAAGTTTGTGAATCTCCTTTGTTTGATTGTGTTGTGAATTTTTTTTTTTCCGGATAAGATGTGCTGTGATTCTTTAGTGGCAGTATTATATGAGGAGAGGGTCTTGCAAATTTGGCACTTCTTGTAAGTTTCACCATCCTAAGCAGGGAGGAAGCTCTGGTTGCCTACAAATTTGGTAACTATTATGTTGGTCAAAAAAACCATAAAAGAAAGGCTGATTTTCAACTCCCAAAAAACAGCCCACGTGCATGCTAAAGAAACCATAATGATGTTGATCAAATAACCTCCCCCATCATTACACCTTGTCTCCCACCAAAGACATCATTAATACAAAAAATATTCCTCCACTAAAGAGGAAACCCAAGGTGCCGAAAGTATGTGCAGCTCCCCTATTTTCCTTCTCCTTTAAAGCCATCAATTAATGACCATGCATGCATATCCCATACATTCATCCATGTGCTTTGCAAAGGGAAAAATACCAGCCGCATATCTTGACATCACACTAAAGAGGAATTTCCAACAGATGTTGGGACATCGGAGGTTAACAATTTCCAACAGATGTTGGGACATCGGAGGTTAACAACCACTTTCATACATTAAAATCATTTTCTTGTTCAATTTTATTCGAACTCATCGTTTCATTTACTTGTGTTATGTTGCTGGCTCATCTGCTTTGTTTTTTAAATTTTTGTTAAAATTTGCTAAACAGAGTATCAGAAGAAAGGTTTTTGGTTTCAATTATATGTCCTTTGTATTACTTACAACATAATGGTTGTTGCATCCAAGTTTTTCCATGCATGAATGCAAGATAAGGGTTTTGTAGTATGAAAACAACTTGTGAGAGCACATTGTTTAATATGGAGCACAGCGTGATTCCCAACTATTGCTTTAGGTGTGAATTCCCAACTTAGCACGGAATGAATGTGTCCATCCGCTTTGGGTGTCTCCATTTTTTGGGCATCGTATTACACTATTAGAAATGCATTTTCATTTTTTTCTACAAGCTTAAAAATGGAGGCAAATCCTCCACCACATGCACATCAACTTTTAGATCCAAATTTTCATAACCAAGATTGGAGCTCAATGAAGCATAATGGAACAACTGACTGACACGTTCATATGTTAAATATCATGCATAAAAATAAACACACACAAAATTCTTTTGAAGCTTTAGGGAATAGTAAATCAAGCAATGTTGAAGCTTTAGTGAATCCTTTTGAAGCATTTATGAAACATATTTTGGTGACAGAATTTCAACATCTACATCAGAATAGCCAGTAATTAGAATACTAAAATATAAAAACAAGATAATTAAATGTTGGTTCAAATTCAGATTGGTGATAATTTCCTCTTTGACAAATTGGTCATAAAGAAATAGTGGACATTCTGGGCAGTTAACATCATGGATACCAAATTTGTCAATGAGAAAAGATGGTGATATATCCTCCAGGCCAACTTCGAATGGAATTTCCAACTTTTACTACCATGTCATATACTTCTTTACAAGCAAAAAGAATTAGTTAGAAAGCAAGCTTTCGGATTCTCCAAAAGGGAAGGAAATTGGATTGAAAAGGAAAAACTTCCAACTTTAAGGCAAGGAAATATGCTGAAAGAATTGTGAGCATTGAAACAAATGATGTAACATAATCATTCAACTTGGTCATCTCTGCCAAACCAAAAGGCAAGCTAAAAACCTATGTACCTGACCATCGTACCATCCAGACTCTTCATCTGTAAACAGAAAGAAGAAGAGCAGAAAATTAATGACATGCATATGACAACCATTACTTTGTTCTAACAAATTAACAATTACCCCAGGTAATCAGTATATGAGATGTATCTTAGAAAATTAATGAAGTCTAGGATTGGGAAACAAGATGAGAGGCAGTACCTTTGCTTCAGTGTATCCAAGAAAGCAAATATGATGAGAGTTTTACAACATAAATTAAAAAAAAAACAAAGCAGATGAGCCATCAACATAACACAAGCAAATGAAACGATGAGTTGGAATAAAATTGAACAAGAAAATGGTTACTACTAAACAGAGTATCAAAAGAAAGGTTTCAGGTTTCAATCATCTGTCCTTTTTATTACTTACAACAGAATTTATACAAGAGGAGAAAGACTTGCTAACCAAGCTGAGCGTTAATTACAAGTAGGTAACAGATGGCAGCTCGAGTTTGGGTTCCCAATTCCTGGAGAAGGCAGCTGGAGTTTGGGTTACCAAAGGAGAAAAAAACAAAAGCCAAAATCAAGCACAATAAATGCTTTCATAAGACTTGCTAATAGTTACTAACCTCAGATGTCTGAACATCAACAAAAATAACCTAATAATTGGTGAGAGAACTCCTTGCTATCACTGTGAACCCAAAAAAGCCAAACATAACGTTCAGAACTTACAAAATAGAAACACCCATAAACTACTTAAAATTCAATAATTAACGAAGAGAAACTACTCATTCTATTCTCTTCCATTATCACCACCACAGTCCACTTGAGTATAAATCTAATAAGCCAGCAAAACCCACAAATTCAGAGCCAATACACACCAAGATCCAACCTTTTGAACCAAAAACTCGAAACCCAAATATGAAATAAGAAATTGAGTTCTTGAAATGAATACTTACAAAGCAATCATACTTCTTCTTGGAGACCATGTAGCCACAACGAGAGAGAGAGAGAGAGAGAGAGTGATAAATGAGGAAAGGGAGAGGTAGAGCAGAGACAGACAGACAGACAGCTGATGAGAGGGAGTGTTGAGATTGCTGGCTAATCTTCTTGTGAATGAGGAAAAGAGGCCGGAAGAGATAGGACCAGAGAGAGAGCTATAGTGCGAGAGTGGGTGTGGGAATTTTAGGAAAGCGATAGATACAGATTGGTAGCCATTCATGACAATTTTCAGGGCAGAAATGAAAGCAAGGATATGGGTAGATGGAAAGATAGATGAGAAAAGATGGATGTAGTTCATGGAGATTGAATGTCCACTGGAAGGGTAAGTGACGAGAGGAAGAGCGACTGCGACTGCAGTTCTGAGATTTTCAACAAATTAAAACAAGGTTTTTGGTATTTGGGTTGTTAGATTTGGGGGTTTGTAGTTAAAATTTAAAAATGAATTAAATGGCAGAAGGAAGGAAAAAAAGGCGCGACTGGAAAAGGCGCGATAGCACAAGTGCAAAGGAGAAACTGCAGCGTACCCGATTCTAGTGTGAGCTTGTTTTTTCTCCCCAGCCGTTGAGATCACTTAAATGGCTGAGATGGAGCTGCAAGTAGAGGTTTGCAAAAAGATGTTCCCACCTGAGCCTAGGCGGTTAGTAAAAAGCTTGTTATGCACAAAACAAAAAGTCTAAAATTGCCTAAAGTAATAACTTAGCCTCCCCATACGCCACCAAACTTTACTTCCATGTGACAAGGAAAAAAAATTTGACCCACTAATATGAATATCTAGTTCCGCCCTCGCTCTCATATTACCTCTTAAGAATTGGATCATTATCTTCTTTTCTATGGAAAGAATTGGTCCATCGTTTCTGGTATTTCTGTAGCCCCCCATAAAGAAAATAGTGCTTCTTTCTCTTCATCCCAAGTGTGGCCCTTAGAGCATGCATAATGAGCTCCTTAAACCACCTCTTTATACAAATTTTGGGAAGGAATTGGAAAAATACAACTCCAATCATGATCCCTATTCACCCCCTAAAATAAGGAGGCCTCTAGGAGCTCCTAATTTTAAGGAGAGAGAAATGACTCATAGTGACTCTCTATAATTTAATGTTCCTTTGTTTTACGTATATTTTAAACTTTTAATTAATGCTAATTATTTTTTTATATTATTTTTTATAGAGATGGACCAATCATATTGAATTAAAGAAATAATTATAGTATTTATGACTTCTTAAATTAGAGAGGATGATTGAATTAAAAAATAACTTTTGTGTGTTTTAAACTAAATTTTAACTAAAAAATAGAGAGGATGATTATAAATGCTCTTACATATCACCTCCACTTCTTGTTGCTCGAGGGCCTACTATATTTCTTGAAATTAACTTGAACTTATAGCCACCATGTACACTTTTCCTTTTTTTCCTTTCTTGGCTTAAACATCACTCACAGTTAGCAAGTGCAAAATTCGGAGCAAGCCTGTAACTCTGGAATCATTTGGGCATTGGAACTCACATTGTGAATGCGAACCATAAGGATAACAAATTCTCCATGTAGTCATGACATTAATGGCATGTTTATTAATTCGTAATCGGAATAGGAGGAATTGAATTGAGAAAGAGTTAGATTGAGGAGAATTAGATTTTGGATTCATATTGAAGTTGTTTACTAAACCATATGAATTAAGAAGAGTTAGATTTTAAATTCATATTGAAGTTATTTTCTAAACTATATTGAATTGGTATAGGAGTAGTGCTAATTACTAAAATGTCCTCGTTATTGGGTTAAAGTAGATGCCAAATTTGGATAAATAGAGAAAAGGCAAAAAGTTTCCTCCCACACTGTACACACAGATAAAGATAGTCCACCAACTGCCCCAAAGTGAAGATACTTATCCAGAATATTTAAAAAGAGACATTTACTTGTAAGTATATTTTCAATTTTCTATATATATATACAGCTTTAAGAGAAAATGAATGGGCATTGAATTGCAAGAATTATTATTATTATATATACACTGTTTTTACTGTTCTGCACACAACACTTGCACTTATGCTGAGAGCAGAGAAGTAGTCTGATTTGATTTGATGCAGTAATAAATGGGTTTTAGAAAGTTATTGACATTCTTCTTCTTCCTGTTGTTGTTGGTGATAATGCCATCATACTGTAATGCTTCTGAAAAAGTTTCAGTGGCTCTCTACTATGAAACTCTGTGTCCATATTGTGCAGATTTCATAGTCAACCATCTGGTCAAGCTCTTCCAGAATGGTCTCATCTCCATTGTCAACCTCAGGCTGGTCCCCTGGGGCAACGCTTGGCTCAACTCCGACGGCTCCTTCAGCTGCCAGGTAAAAAACAACCCCCTCCCTCCATTGCTCTGTTCTTTCTTTTCATTTCCTCCTCTTGTTCTGGCAACCAACTAGCAACCAACTAGCAACAACAACAGTATCCCTTTACCTGTCCCAAACGACGTCGTTTCTAGCTGCATAGTATTTTTGACCTTTTTTCTGTATCTCTGGGGCTTAACTTTCTTGTGGGCCAGTGTTATGATGGTGTCTTCCTGTACAACCAGACCAGTCAGCTACCATCTTTTGTTTTGTTTTTTTATCTTTATTTTGGGTTTTGCAGCATGGATCAGATGAATGTTTGCTTAACACAATTGAGGCCTGCACCATTTCCATCTATCCTGATGTGGTAAGCTCCTCCTCAATGCCCCCCAAGAAAGAAACATATTTAACTCATAGGCCAAAACCTAAATGATCAATGTAGTTCAAAACATGTAAATGACCCTAAAACAATCAGTGTTTGATCTAATATGTTGAAGAAAATTCTAATGCAGAACCGGCATTTTGCATTCATCCACTGCGTTGAGCGCCTTAGTTTGCAGGGCAGACACAGTGCATGGGCCAATTGTTTTGAAATGTCTAGATTAGGCACTACCCCTATCGATTGCTACAACAGTGGAAATGGCAATGAGGTCAGTTCACTTCTGTTCATATATATAAAAACTGCTTCATTATTTCAGAATTTAAATCTTCATGGATTGGAAATTTGGGTTTGATATATTGCATACATAGATTGAAGGAAAATATGGTAGGGAAACTGCTCAGCTTAAACCCCCACTTAGATTTGTGCCATGGGTTCTTGTGAACAATCAACCACTTCAAGAGGTTTGTCAACTTATTATTTTCCTTTGGGATCTCATCTCTTAATTTATGTTTCTCTTTTGTCACCCTCATTAACAATTTCCTCTATGTAGGATTATGAAAATTTTATGGCCTATATATGCAAGGCTTACAAAGGCAAACCTCCGGAAGCTTGCAGATCAGTCCGTTTTACAATTGAATCAACGGGGAAAGAAAAACCGCTTCCTCAAGTTTGTCGTGCAAGCGAAGGAAGAAACTCTTCACATTATCAGAAGTACCAGCACAGAAAGGTTTAAGATGAGGCAAAGCTTTCATGGCTGCTGCTTCACTAATAATGTTGATCTGACATAGTTGAATGAAGCGAGTTTGTAACTTAATAGTGCTCAGATTGGAAAATCCCATGTCTCAGAATTTAGTATATATCCTGCTCTGATGTAATTTGTAAACACCAGAGAAGGTTTAATGCGCAGCGTTTTATTGATGCAATTGTTATGTCAAGTCGTTAAATGTTCTCGTCTTTTCATGCCAGCATTATGAATTTATGATGAAGGCGACCAAGTGATGGCAAACCCGACAGCAGTGGGTGAATGTGCTTGCTCCATTGATTAGTTTTGCAGATTACTGTACTAGCAAAATAGTTTTTTTACTGGTTCACTAAAGTTGAAGTTTGTGATAAGGCTTAAGAGTTACAAAAGCTTGGATGACTTTTGCAAAATTATACAAGACAAACACAATAAAAGACATAAAAGGAAATAGAGTTCACAATCATTTTTGCAAATTACATTGAAAGGGATTTGACAGCTACAAAATGGTTTATAATAAATTGAAAATTTATTCACATGTTGGGTTGGATTTGAAGCCAACTAACATAAAGGAAGACACACTGTTCTGCTATGAAGCCTCTGCACATATCAGGCTCTCAAATCTCTAACTCAACAATGACTTCTGCTTATCTGTTCTTCACTTCTCTCATTGCCTGTTCTATTTTCTTGACCACATTTTCATCTGCTGCTGCAGAAAATGGCAGATTTGGAGTTTCTAGGATTGAAGCTCAGAAAGTTACTCTCTCAGTTTACTATGAAACTCTATGCCCATTTTGTGCTACTTTCATCGTCAAAAATCTTGCTCAAATATTTGATAACAATCTCATCACCATTCTCAATCTCAGACTGGTTCCTTGGGGAAAGGCATCTATCAACTCATCTAAGAACTCCACTGTTTGTCAGGTCCCATCTCTAACTTTACCTTTTAAATTAGTTTTGCAGTTTGTTTGCATGAATTAAACTAGCCCATATTTTGGTTCCTTTTCTTTTCCATCAAAATCTCAGCAACCAAACAGGTTTTTGTTTATGACAGTCACACTCTATCTTGTGACAACTTGCATGCACAACCGACAGTCTAAAGCCTCACCGTTTTATGCATTTTATTTTTCTATAATCTTCAAAATTACGGTGAGATGTTTAATTGCTTGATGATTAAATTTTGTAAAATTATACAGCATGGCCCAGATGAGTGCAGGCGAAATTCTGTGGAAGCATGCGCCATCAATGTTTTGCATGATGTGGTGAGACCCCTCTCTTCCCACACAATCTATTTGCTGCAAAATTAGATATAACATAATGTTGGAGCTTAATGTATATTTATGTTAATTAATGTAGTTAAGTTGGCTGAGGCTGTGCTATTTTTGGCCTTTAAACTGGTAAATATATTTAATCTCTGCATTATCTTAAACCCCCCAATGAATTTGTGATGCAGAACAAGTATTTTGCTTTCATTTACTGCATAGAATTTCTGGCCATTGAGGGAAGGCAGAAGGAGTGGCAAACTTGTTTCAGTTCATTGGGGTTGCCTTCAAAACCCATCTTGGATTGCTACAAAAGTGGAAATGGAACAAAGGTCATTTTGATTTAGTAAACTAATAGTAGTAACTGATCAGCAGAATAATTAACTGATTAGGGTTTTAATTGGTATGCAGATTGAACAAAAATATGCTAATGAAACCATGCACCTCAATCCGCCTCTTAAATTTTTACCATGGCTGGTTCTGAACAACCAACCAATTGGAAATGTCGGTCATCTCTCTCTCTCTCTGTATTATTATTTTTTTTGCTTTGATGCAGGACTATATGTCTCTCAACATTTTTTAGCCTTAATGCAGGATTATAAAAATTTTGCCGCCTATGTATGCAAGGCTTACAAAGGTAACAAAGTACCCCTGGCCTGCCAATATGTGCATTTGAAGCAAAAGACAGAGTAGACAGTGACACATGCTGCACTTACCACAAGCATAAAAGATCGATCGCTGGCTTGAGCCATTGAGAGAGGCTATATTTGGTTTAATACACACTAATTTTTCTTGTTTGAATTGCTAATTATCTAAATAATGCAATAATCATTCATGTGTATGCATACAAAATACGTAAGTTCATTCCATAAATATATTGGATAAGTCAAATAAATAAATAATAGTGCAGAAAACACCAACTGGGTAAGCAAACAAGCAATATCTGCTGATCCCAAGATTCCATATAATTATATCACCTTCCAATTTCCAACTCAAAACAAATGAATTTAAGAGCATCTCTCAACACAATTTGCTAAAATGAGAAGAAATTGAAGTGATTCAGTTTACGGTCACTTTCATGCTCAAGGTTAAAGAGGGCATTACGGTCAGTGGCCACACTAAAATTTATTGTAGAGAAACGGCTTGGTGCTGTAGTGGGTGGTACAGTAGAACCTGGGGCAGCTATAAATATGCAGGCTACATGTAGTAGCTTCAGTGTGCCAGCCAACTTCTAATAAGCATTCAGCAATGGATTCTCTCAAGTTCATCTCCCTTCTTGTTCTACTTTCCTTCCTCTCCGTTTATGCGTGTCGTTCTTCTTTCGATGATCAAGGCATTAATGTCCAGTCTACTCCGGAACCCCGAAAACTTAAAGGGCCTCCTACAAAAGTTGAGAGAGTTGAGCTAGTTCTGTATTACGAAACTCTATGCCCCTACTGTAAAGAGTTCATTGTAAAGGAACTGATGAAGGTATTCGACAGAGATCTCATAAACATTGTCAACCTGAGGCTAGTACCCTACGGAAATGCTCATATTCAAGAACCTGACAACACCATTGTTTGCCAGGTAAGATCTCCCATCTTCTTCAGTTCTTATTTGGCTTCTATAATTCTATGTTTTTGTATCACTGCATTTGGTTAATTACTGACATGGTGAATTCACACTCTGCAGCATGGCCCAGATGAATGCTACTTGAACAGCATACAAGCCTGTGCAATCAACAGCTGGCCAGATGTGGTAAAACCATATTTTTTACCTCAATATCTTAGAATATAAATACCCTTATAACCTGCAGTTTGTCCAAGAGATTGATAGCAGATTACAATATATCTTAACAAATGTAGTTTTGTTATCTTCTGTTTTAACTCTGATGCAGAAGCAACACTTCAAATTGATTCATTGTGTTGAGAACCAAACCATTGAAGGAAAGCAGTCGAAAGAAGAAGGATGGAAATCTTGTTGTCAAAAACTAGGGATGAATCAGAAACCTGTCCAAGATTGCTACGACAGCGGATTAGAGAGAAAGGTCAACACTAAATGGTTTTAACTGCATTTTGTTTTGTTTTTCTTCATGCAAGTTGAATCTTATATCCATATACAGATTCAAACTCTATTTCTAATCATTTAACACAGTGATTGTAATTGGTATGCAGCTTATACTGCAGTATGCTAATGAAACAAACCATCTTGTTCCACGTCACACCTATGTACCATGGGTTGTTGTCAATAATCAACCACTCTATGATGTAAATTCCCTCTCTCTCTTTCTTTCTTTCTTTCCATATCTCTCACACGCGTGGGCACACACAGTAATTAAAGTCTTCATATCTGGATGCAGGGCTACCAAAACTTTGTAAGCTATGTCTGCAAAGCTTACAAAGGCAGTCCAAAACCAGAGGTTTGCAGATCACTTCTGCCCAAGATCAACTCAGCTGGAAATGCAGACTCAAATGGACAAGCGTCTACAAGGGTGAAGAGATCCAGGAACAACTAAAACTTCACAGGGTGGAAACTTCAGTATGAATCATAAACAAAGTTCTGCATGCAGCATTGCAGGCCCACTAGCATCATAAAATAATCGACTAGCATATATGTAGATTTGCTTTATTCACAAAAATATCAAAATTCTCTAAGAAATACATTACATCACTTAAACATAAGTAAACAACCAACCCAAAATGCCTCCAAGAGGCACCAACACCATCCCCACTAATCAGCGTTGAAACTGTGCTTTACAATGTGTCATCATAAGTTACAAAACTTCCAAAACACAATATCAAGTCCGTAGAACAACATAAAAGAAGCAAATAACTATGGGTTATTATGCAAGTCATCTGAAGAGGAAATGTTAAAGATCTATCATGAAATCATCTTCCAAATGCTATTACATGTTTCGAAGGCCGTCATCTTTGTCAGATCAAATTCAAACTTCTGATGCGTTTTGGTATCTCTATCCACAATAGCTGTAATTATTTGGCTCAAGGAAAACAAGGTGATTACAGTACTGAACAAATTTTTTTGGTCATACAGTACTGAACAAATAAATGAATGAATATGCATGTGTATGTAATAAATAAAATGTTTTAAGAGTAGGATACAGCCCAAAACACTTGACTGATCTTCCAGCCTCTTAGGTATAATATTTGTGACAGAAGCATGCATGGAAAGCTCCCTCCTGTAGATAAGAGTAAAAACGTTTCATTGACTGGATATGAATTGTCAAAACAATTCATTTCATGACCGGTACAACTGCAGTGACTACTAATTTGATGAACGTGTAAACTTTGAACGGTATTTTTCCGCCTAGAACGTGGAGTTTTAGAAGAGAAAGAATCCATATAATGTTCGCATCAAACTTCTAAATACTCACAGTTTTCTGAACTCATCTTGCTTGTGTCTCTTCGAAATTCGCCTTTTCTCCTGATGAGCAATCCTTTGGTGTTCTAAATCATTAATCTCATCAGTGACCACTGTGTTGAAGCAAAAGAGAACCAAATCACTAACCATTGCCAGTCAACCTAAAATCAATAATCTGCGAGAGCATATGCAACTGAATGTGTACTTATCTTAACTCCTCCATAAACAAACTTTCTGTTTCAATGACCCCATCAAGTTCTCTTTGAAGAAGGTCTATTTCTTCATCAGCAACAACCTCTGAATATGCCACCTCAGTTTTCTGCTTGCATTCATCTATCTTTTTCTCATAGTCTGCTTCATTTAAGAACTTGTCAATGCACATACTCACATACAACATCAGCAATCTACTATCTCTATGAACAACATTTATGCAAGTGAAACTATTCAAAGGGGGAAAATTTCACACCATTTGACAGATAGCTCAATTAAGTCCAGAAAAGTCAAATTAATCAAAAGAAAATACGAGAATCAACCAACAAAACCCAAATTAGACCTAAAGATGGCCCCTTTTTCTTACTTGGGGAAATTTCCACATAAATAGTTTTGAACCCTGCGTTTTGCATAATTTCTACCTTAAGCTACTTCTAATTGGAAATGTATAGGCTACTAACTGAGAATTCTGGGTCTAGAAATCTCGAGAAACAAACAGAGCTTAAATGAATCAACAAACCTCGAAGCAAATTCTGAACTTCGTTGAAATCGGCATCACATGAGGAGCGGAGGGCCTTGGAGTGTTGGAGAGAATGCTCCAAGTTGTTCAGGTCCTTCTTGTCCTTCAAAAACCCCACCAGATCGTCGCTGTACAAAATCAGCTTCTCAAGATCGATTTTTCCAGAAGCTTCCCCCATTTCTCTGAGAATCAGACTCGTCGCAACTGAGATCTTCTTCCGAGTTTTTCAAAATAAAGAGAATTGGTGGGAACAAATCTAGGGATTGCTTTTGATTTTAGGGCTCCCGACACTGAAATTCCCTTTGGATCAATAGCGCGAAAATTTAAATAAGAAATAGATTAAATTAATTAATCGTTTACGTTATATACTATTTTGCATTAACACACAACAAAAGCGTCGATATGTCCGAGTGGTTAAGGAGACAGACTCGAAATCTGTTGGGCTTTGCCTGCGCAGGTTCGAATCCTGCTGTCGACGATTTTTTTTCATTTTAAATAAAATTTATTTTAGTTTTAAATTTTTTTATATAGATCATAGTGTGCGCTATTGGAATTTTGTAATAATGTATTTGGATCGTCTGAAAAACAGGTTTGTGATTGTGGATTGATAAATGTGCCATAAAGTGATTTGCTTTAAACAAATTTATTTTAGCACCATTAATTTTCAAGGTGGTGGTTATATGTGCAAATCTCTTTACAAAGTCAAAAGTATTCAAAGTAATTTGTCTATAATAATTCATGTGAGTTTACCCTACAAACAATGATAAGAAGTTAGATCTTTCTCATCCATCGTTTTTCTCTTATGAATGATGTTTTCTATGCAATTTGTGCGGCTCAAACTTAACATGTCTTAATCCAACTCAAACTTTTTTTATAAGGCATATTAGACGAATCATGGATTGGGTTGGGTCAATCGAAACTAACTAAAGGATCCAAAGATGATTAAGCCTAAATTGATCATGATTTAGTTAACCTAAGATCCATTTACAACTTCTAGAAATAAAAAGAAAAAACTTACGGCCCATACTAATCATAGATCGTCAAAATTATTAATTCTAGTACATTTTATCGTGCATTTTTTAGTTTATAGATGTTAATAATGAGGGTCAATAAGTTATACAATTTGTTAGATTGAACATATAATGTAGATAACAAGTATGATTTGTCAAAAATGGGTGTTTTCTCATTAATTTTGGAAAAAAAAAAAAAACACCATACAAAAGTTGAGCTCTCTCTTCTCATGTCATGGTAGAGACCCACAAGTAACAACAATATAAGATTAGGTTACCTTGCTTAACCTCATTTTGATAAAAAAGTGTTTAGAGACCCATAATTACCAAAATGAGTATGATTTGTCAATAACAACAATATAAAATTAGGGTTACCTTACTTAACCCCTTCTCCAAGTTGTGGTTTTAAAAACGACATAACTTCTCCAAATTAACATTGCATAACTTAATTCAAAAATTTTCATATCCAACAAAGGTCTTATCCGTGAGTACCAAGAATCAAGGACAAAACTTTTGACCCAAAATAAAATAAATTCAAGGACAAAAGCAAAATGAAATTGGTAATCTCTGCAGCCGGTCCAATTGAATTTGAACAACATTTTTCTGTTTTTGACCCCCTTGACGAGCGAGCTGTTCGATGAATCGATGGTCGGTTTCGAGGCTAAGCCGAATATAAGACAATCCCTGGCTACAATACATTAATTACCACATCCAAACAGCCCGCGAAGGACATCATTTCTACCCCAATCCAAGTCCCACGTATCTCGGCCCACAACTCGTCTCTCTTTCTTTCACTCTCTCTCTCTCTCTCTGTCTCTCTACAAAGAGAGATGAACCGCGACCTCAGGACCATCGCATCCCTCAGCTGAAACCCTAACAAAACCTGCAAACGACGCTACCTCTCTCTAATCTTCACCATCGCTTCCTTCGCTTCTTTGTCACAGTTCGTCTTGGTATCTTCCTTGCTTCACTCATATGATTTTCTTTTTCACTTTATTCCATCTCATCGATCTGCATATGACGGTTTAGAATCAATAGGTTTTAGATCAGTGTTTAGCCTCTGTTTGTTTTCCGAGAAAATTAAAATACGAAAGAAATGTTAATATTTTTTCTGAATTCTATTGTTTTTCTGGTGTTTTCCTGTTCGGAGAAATAAAAGCAAACAGCTAATCTAGGCGTTTAATCCGATCTTATTTATTTGAATATAAACTTAAGTGTGAAATCATATAGAACAAGTTCGGTTTAATTAACCGAAAACTGGGTTAGGGTTTGGTTTAAAGTGTAGAGTCTGAGAGTCTGAGACTGATAATGAGGTTTTGGTGTTTCGGCAGTTCATCGCACTATATGCTTCCTAGAAAGAGAGCAGTGGGCGGAGAGGTTGTAGTAAAAGAAGAAGGGGAACCAAACTACTCCACCGAATCTCCGATCAAGAAGCTTCGCGCGGCTGCAAACACAGACGATTCTAAGAGCAACGACTACAAAAACAATACCACCATTGACAACAGCAACAACAGTAGCAAGGACGTCAAAGTGCCGATCATGGCATTGGGCAATGGAAACTCGAATGACATCGATGAGGATCTCCACAGCCGACAGCTCGCTGTGTATGGCCGGGAGACTATGCGCAGGCTCTTTGCCTCCAACATTCTCGTCTCTGGGCTGCAGGGCCTTGGCGCTGAGATTGGTATGTGAAAAACGTTGGGTTTCTTCTGGTTTTTATAACAATGTTTTGTAGCTCTTGCGGATTTAATTTGTTCTGATAGTATCTGAGAATATGGATGGGAAGCATATAAATATATTTTGTTTATTATTGACTTGCGTTTTCCATTTGTGGGTTAGACGCGAATAACCTGATCATGTATGAGAATACTGTGAATGAAAAGATCCGTTTCTTGCATGCTATACTTATCAAGAGCTCAAAGAGAGCAGTTTGCAATTACCTGTTAGATTGTTTGTAATAGGAATTACGGTGGTACAAGTAATTAGTAAGTCTGTGGTTTATGTAATGAGAGCTGTCTTTGTTGCAGCAAAGAACCTTGTTCTTGCCGGTGTCAAGTCTGTGACCTTGCATGATGATGGAGTTGTTGAGCTGTGGGACTTGTCAAGCAACTTCTTTTTCTCCGAGGATGATATTGGAAAGAATCGGGCCCTTGCTTGTGTCCAAAAATTACAAGAATTAAATAATGCTGTGGTCATTTCAACTTTAACAACTGAACTGACCAAAGAGCAACTTTCTGATTTCCAGGTACTGTTTCCTTTCCGTCTTTGTTAATTCTTTTGTTGCATGATGGCTGCATGTTGGTAACTTTTAATTTAGAAGTTTTTGATTCGTTTTTAATTTATATTTTTATAATCAAGTCAAGCCAATGCTCTTGAATATCATATGTTTTGCTTGCCTAAAAATGCAAGGCATATCTTTGATTATCTGCTCCCTTTCTAACAATTTCACTTTTGAAGTTCAAAACTTTTAAGTTAGAATGGTTTTCTTCCCGTATAGTTGTGTTTTGTCCACTAACAAATAATAATAAATGGACTTGTTTTTATTTTTGGGAAGAGGTGCATTGGCATGAACATGTGATGATATTGCTACTAACCTGAATTCTGATTATGTGAATTATCCTGTCAGAATTTAGAAGAATGCTGATAGTTGTATGCATGTTGTTTCATATACTTACATTTATTCAGTAATCAACGGTATTTAGCTTTGTGTTTGAACTTCTGCAGGCTGTAGTTTTCACTGATATCAGCTTAGAGAAAGCAATTGAATTCAATGATTACTGCCATAATCATCAACCTCCTATCTCTTTTATAAAATCAGAAGTACGGGGCCTTTTTGGCAGTGTGTTTTGTGACTTTGGCCCTGAGTTCACTGTTCTTGATGTTGACGGTGAGGATCCACATACAGGCATTATCGCATCCATTAGCAATGACAACCCTGCTCTCATAGCATGTGTTGATGATGAGAGGCTTGAGTTCCAGGATGGTGATTTGGTTGTGTTCACTGAAGTCCATGGAATGACTGAGTTGAATGATGGAAAGCCAAGGAAGATTAAGAATGCAAGACCCTACTCATTCACAATTGAAGAGGACACTACAAATTTTGCAGCATATGAGAAGGGTGGTATAGTCACACAGGTGAAGCAACCCAAGGTGTTGAACTTTAAGCCTCTGCAGGAAGCACTCAAGGACCCTGGTGATTTCCTTCTGATTGACTTCTCCAAGTTTGATCGTCCACCTCTCCTACACTTGGCATTTCAGGCACTAGATAAGTTCATATCAGAGTTGGGGCGCTTCCCTGTAGCTGGATCAGAGGATGATGCTAAAAAGTTCATATCATTGGTAACTAACATCAATGATAGCTTAGCGGATGGGAGGCTCGAAGAGATTGACCACAAGATTCTACGTCATTTTGCATTTGGTGCTAGGGCTGTGCTGAGTCCAATGGCTGCAATGTTTGGTGGTATTGTTGGACAGGAAGTTGTGAAGGCCTGTTCTGCGAAGTTTCATCCTCTTTTCCAGGTAATTACTAAAATTCAGTATACTTGATGTCACAACCATACATGAATTTTCTTTGCAAAACTGATTGGCACTGCCTTTTTGTTGTGAATCTTTAACCTAGTCCTAATAGAATGAGGTTAATATTTTTATAATTAATCTCATATTTTTAATTGCCTTGTGGACAGTTTTTCTACTTCGATTCAGTTGAGTCCCTTCCGTCGGAAACCTTGGATCCTAGTGATTTGAAGCCTTTAAACAGCCGTTATGATGCACAAATTTCAGTATTTGGAGCCAAGCTTCAGAAAAAGCTGGAGGATTCAAAAGTGTTTACTGTCGGATCCGGTGCGCTAGGATGTGAGTTTTTGAAGAATTTAGCATTAATGGGTGTCTCTTGTGGAAAAGAAGGGAAGTTAACGATTACGGATGATGATGTCATTGAGAAGAGTAACCTTAGTAGGCAATTTCTCTTCCGAGATTGGAACATTGGGCAGGCTAAATCAACAGTAGCTGCCTCTGCTGCTGCATTGATTAATGGTCGTCTGAACATTGAAGCTCTGCAGAATCGTGCAAGCCCCGATACTGAAAATGTGTTTGATGATACTTTTTGGGAGAATTTGGATGTTGTTATCAATGCTCTAGATAATGTGAATGCAAGGCTTTACATCGACCAAAGATGCTTGTATTTCCAGAAGCCACTTTTGGAATCAGGAACACTAGGTGCCAAGTGCAACACACAGATGGTCGTTCCTCACCTGACTGAAAATTATGGAGCTTCACGGGACCCACCTGAAAA